ACATTAGATGGAAATCAATTTAATGGGAGAATACAGTGCTGAGAACACACTACAAGATTCAAACTGCATATAGAATGGGACATATGTGTCCACGAAAGCTTATGCTCTAATAAATTTGTTAGTCTCTAAGGTGCCACAAGTACTCCTGTTCTTCTTTTTGTAGGAATTAAGTGAAAATTGCCAAAAGTCAAGATGAGTTAGACCTGCATAGGAAATTAAAACAAATAGCAAAACATTTTTAGCCATATAAATAAAAATAGAACAAGAAAAGAAGTGGGATTGCTATACAGTGAAGATAGGGTAGAGACCCAGGTATGAGCCACAAACTTAAATGAGCTCTTTGCCTCAGTTTTCAATAGGATAATAATGTAGAACATGGGGAAAAGGCAAGGTAGCTAATAGATGTTGCCACATCCAAGGTGGAAGCAAGCCTCAAAGATCTTTAATGCACTCAACTGAGGGGATTTACATAATCTCCATTAATTACAGCATGCTGACAACTGGCATATAAAATTACAATAATAAACTGTTAAATTGGGATGGAAACAAATAACGGAAGAATTAGAAAACATAGTACTTATATTTAAGAATGGAGGTGGGAGGGAAGGAGTGATTCAGGCAACTACAGACCCATTTGTCTGACCTCCAATAGTATGCAAGGCTTCAGAATAAATGTTGAAGGAAAAAAGGTTTAAAGACATGGAAGTAAATGGGATAAAATGCAACATTAGTTTATCAACATGGATTGTGTCAAACTAATCTGATAGTTATCTTTGAGAAGATAACTAATTTTTTGGGTCCGGGAAATGCGGTAGATCTAATCTCACTGAACTTCAGTGGAGCATTTGATATGGTATCACATGGAAAATTATTGGTTAATTCTGGAGAATTTGGGGATTAGTACAAGAACTGCGAAATGAGTAAGGACCTGGCTAAAGGGATGACCATGAATTCTACTGAAAGGTGAACTCTTGGACTGAAGGGAGTTTACTGGTGGAGTTCCTTGAGAAATAGTCTTGGGACTAACCTTATTTAATACAGTAACTCCTCACTTAGTCGTCCCGGTTAACGTTGTTACGTTGCTGATCAATTAGGGAACATGCTCGTTTAAAGTTGTGCAATGCTCCCTTCTAATTTGTCCACTGCTTGCAGGAAGAGCAGCCCGTTGCAGCTAGCTGGTGGGGGCTTGTAACCAGGGTGGACCGGCAGCTCCCCGCTCCCCTAAGTTCCCTGTGCTGCAGCCGCCCAGTGGGCTAGCAATTGCCGGGCAGGTCAGCTGTCCCTCCCCCCACTGCCACGTGCTGCTCCTGCCCTCTGCCTTGGAGTGGCTCCCAGAGACTCCTGCTTGCTGGGGGGGGGGGGGGGGGGGGGGGGGGCCAGGGGGGGGGGGCCCCCCCCCCCCCCCCCCCCCCCCCCCCC